GGGGGGACTAGGGGTGGCTAATTTAGAAAGGTGAAATTGGATTTTATTGGAAAAATGGTGGTGTAGATTAGGATATGGGACAGAAGGTTCGTGGAAGAGTGTGATTTGGGAGAAATATGATGAGGGAAGGAAGGAGGTGGATATTAAGACGATTATGTGTTTAAATATGTTACAAGTATGGAGGGATATTGTGGGGATTAGAAAGGGGTCGGAAAGGCTTGATTTGATGTTAACAAGGGGTTTTAAGTGGGATGTTGGGGATGGAAGTTGTGTTGATTTTTGAAGTGATGTATGGGTGGGGGATAAGTCTTCAAAAAATATATTTCCTAGGTTGTTCACATTAGCAATGGAGAAGGATGGGTTGGTGAAAGATATGGGTTTTTGGAGGGGTGAGGAATAGGTGTGGAAATTTGGGTGGTGACATGAATGCTTGGGAAGGGCAATATGTGAGCAGGAACGGTTTAGGGAACTAATATATGGGGTGAAGTTGAGGGAGCATAGGGTGGATGTTTGGAGGTGGGTTCATTGTAGAGATGGTTTATATTCTGTCAAGGCAGCTTATGAGTTTCTAACACCTAAAGATCACCTTCTTGATAAGAAACTGTGCAGAATAATTTGGAATAAGTACGTTCCATCTAAGTTCAATATATTTGGGTGGTGGTTATTCTTAAATAGATTGACCACGAGGAAGAATCTTTGTAAGGGAGGGTTATTGAAATAGGGAGAGGATGTGAGTTGTGGGCTGTGTAATGAAGTGTTGAGGGAGTGTAGACATTTATTTTGTGAATGTAGGGTGGTATGGTTAGTGGGAACAAAAGTGTTGTTGTAGTGGGTTTGAAAGGGGTTTTGTCGAATAAGTTTCAGGGATGGGGGGATGTGTGCAGGAAATAGGAGCTTTAATATTCTTGGTCACTGGTTGGTATGTTTGGTGTTGGAAGAATTCAAAAGCTGTGTGGGAATCGTTTTGATTTGTGAGGATTTACTGCTGGATCCTATGCAGGCAAAGTC